TACGCTTGCGCTCCGATTCTGTGTTGTACGACATTTTGCTGTGCTTCTGTACTTTCCAGCTTGGTGATGCTCGTACTTGGTTGACTGACCTGTGGCATCCTCCCATGTGTGCAAATGTGGCTGTCCGAAATAACGTCTCCAGATCGAATGAGCGTTACCATCCGTTTCCGACGAGGACTGAAGTTACAGTTTGCCAATAAATCTGACATGTTTCTTTAAAACGTTTGTCATCCTCAGGGGAGGGTGACCCCCGCTCGCTCATTTTAATATAAGTTTCTTGCATTATGATAAGTAAGTGGGTGTCGCCCATGACCGTGATTGATGTCTCAAAGGTCCAAACTTGTTGGGTCGTCGGTAAATTGTAACGTCATCTCCTTTTGTTAATTTCATATTAATGCTTGTTTGATACAGGATGCAGATTAACGTGAAAATATAACGTCTTCAGAAACTGTCATCTTGTTTCATTCTTTTTCTTAAGAAAAAAAAAAAGCAGGACTCAGAGACTTCAAAGAGACGTTGCTAATATTTTGTGGTTTGTTTACGACTGCATGTTCAAGCACATGGCTTACACAGACTTTGTTAGGACGGCATAATTTCTCATAGCGTTCTTCGTCGCCATGCACCTATAATTTAGAACGTCTGTTTTTAGATTGTTTTGGAATACATTCTTAGGAATTCACTAAGAGTATAAAGCAATTTAAAGTCTTGTTTATTTTGCAACTGAGTAAGATACAGAGGATGACCTAGTAGCCAGCCAGAGATTATTCTTTTACATGTAAATAATGTTTAATGAAATTGTTTAGTAAATGCGATGTGGCGACACTTGTTCCAGGTGTCATGCAAGCAAGCAACAGTGGAGGAGTTAAATTAAACAGCCGCTTCAGTCCGAGTTTCCGAGATGACCCCAGCCGAGGCAAGCTGGCGGCATCTAAGAGAAAAAGAGATAATGTGTTACGGTGAGCATTAAATTTTTCCCGGACGACTGCGCCCGTTGACTCGAGACGTGATTGTGTTTGTAAAATTAGGACAAGTGATTATTTTCCGTAACTTGATAGACGCTTTCAGTTTTCTTTGTGTTGTATTCATGGTGTGGCCATCAGCTCAAAAGTCGGCTGCTAAAATCCTGTAATACATCACAAAACACTGCTAATACTGGGTAAGAAACAATCAGTTTATATGTAATATTAATTATTGTACCATTAGGGTCATGGGTAAATAAATTAGTGTTAATTGCTGGTTCTTCTATTCACACATTATCTTCTGTAGCTAAATGATGGAACACTTACGCACCCATGACTTGAGTGTACTTAATTTAATGATTTTACTACAGATCTTTGAATGTGAAATTATTACAGGGACCTACTTCGCGGCTGGCATTAGCAGGAAAGTAAGTGCATTTAAGAATGTTTTAATGCAAAGTAATTATTCTTAACTGGGCCAGAAGTGGGATAAAATAATATGTTTTGGAATGGATTGCTTGTGAGGTGTACATTTGAAGGGAATTTGGTTTTTGTGTAGTGGCAGCCTTTACTCTTTGATGGTCTCATAAACTGAGAATGTGTTTTTAGTTATTGCAGTAACCTCGAAACCACCAAAGTTAAATAATGTCTTCGATACTGGTTAGTAATAGTCTGTTGTATTGTTCCGTAGAATGAAGGTTCATCGGAAGGGCAGCGCTCGGGACGTCCTTGAGTGCGTCAGGCACATTGACAGCGCCAGTTCTAACAAGCAATGTATCCTTTGGTGCAAAGTCATCATTGTCAAATTATGTTTTGTATAATAAAGATATTTCGTAACACATATTTTTTTAAAGGTGAAAGGTTGTTAGCCCTACACCCAACCCCCAACCTGGAGTTGCAATTGAATGGGACACATCAGCTATTGGCATATGCTGATGATGTTAATTTATTGGGGGACGATATAAATACAATAAAGAGGAACGCAGAAGTTTTACTAGAGGCTAGTAGACAGGTGGGGCT